ATTTGTATCTTTTGAAAAAGGTAATAGATTTAATTAAGAGGTGAAAGAATAAATAAATATTAGCAAAATGTCAACAGAGCTGCAGGTACAAATGTAAGAACTTGACAACGCTGTTTCCGATACGTTTCAGTCCGTCCGACAAAAAAATGTATAGATGGAAAGGATACGGAACGGAAGGGAAACGGAACGGATAGTGTGCATTGTCCTATTCTTTTACATGATATATAATATTTTATGTAAATGAAAGGGAAACGGAAGGTAGCTGATACGGAAGGTATAGTGAGAATCAACCTTAAGTCATATACTTCCCTTATAAAACTCAAATTTATTTTTTTCCGAAAATCACTTAATATATAGTTATATATATATAACACAACTTTGATATGTAACTTTTTTGGAGACACCCTGTAGAACTCTCTATATTTTGAAAAAGTGCTCTAAATTAACCTACATATTATATGCTCAGAAAATTCATTTCAATACAAACTGTTGCTCTCTTTGGAGACGCCGCGGCGTATGAGAGGCGCCACCCATTGCTAAGATTGTTCGATTTATATTCATACTCTTTGAAATTTAGTACCATAATATGTTTACTTTTCAAACTTCTTTATTCTTGATTTTTTTATATCTATACATTTTGATTTATATTAGTCACTATACAGGGTCCGGCAATAGTGCGTCGGGCACCTGTAGCTCCTACAATAAAAAAAACTTGGAAATTTTGTTTAAGTATTAACCTAAAGTATGTACTAGGATGTATTTCAGGAAAATATTTTAACTTCTAGAGGGTGGCTCAAAAGTGTGAGTGGATCGGAATGATTATGGATCACCCTGTATATTAGTACATTTTAGGTAAAAAAACGAAAAATTTTTTAGAAAGTTTGGCGTAGAATCTTGAACATCCTGTATGATTTAAGATTACAATATTTATAACAAAGTAAGTACAGACCATCCAACGTAAATACATAGTATAGTTTTGATTTCAGGATAGAAAGGAATTTCTGATCACTTTATATAATCTTAAGATATTTTTTAATAAGTTTTGATAGTTTCAGAGATAATAATAAATAAATAAAAAAAAATTTTCAGCCTTTTTTAAAAAAATTATTAAAAATACAAGAACTATCCTGAAATCAAAACTATACTATGTATTTACGTTGGATGGTCTGTACTTACTTTGTTATAAATATTGTAATCTTAAATCATACAGGATGTTCAAGATTCTACGCCAAACTTTCTAAAAAATTTTTCGTTTTTTTTAAATGGAACACCCTGTATATTGTAGTTGTTTAGACTTTCTCGGCCATCGTTTGAAGAAATGTTGTTTTTCGGGTTATTAGGCCGTCGTCGATTGGAATTGGTTCCTAACGTTTCGCTAGCACGAGTGGCTAGCATCTTCAGAGGTGTGTTTGCTCCGACTGCTCACACTAGACTGATGCCTCCGTGTCGGCGGAGGGGGCGTGGCTTGTCTCGGTGGAATTTTTTCTGGTCTACTCTGTGCTGCTACTTTGGTCCTAGTAGCAAAGCTTCTTCCTTCTAGGTCCAAACCAAAGTTTCTTCCTTCCTGTTGAAATTATTTGGATGTTTGTGAATTTCAACAGCTTCCCTGACCAGACGAGGATGATATCCAGATGTTGTAGCAATGACTTGGGTGTCTTCGAATTGGATTTTGTGGTCACCAACTCTTAGAGCATGATCTACTACGGCTGACTTCTCTGTTTACCCTAATGTGCCGCTTCTCTTGTGTTCCGTAAGTCTCGTTCCTACTGAGCGTTAGTTCCAATATATACGTTACCGCAGGAACAAGGTATACCCCCTGCAGAGGATAATGGTTCCCTTTTGTCTTTGGCTGGTCTTAAGCAGTCCTTAAATAAGTAAGATTAAGTCCTTAAGTAGTAAAATTCCTATCGCAGAGGTGGTAAGCTCCTGGATACGGCTAAGAGGTGTTAGGGGAAGTGGTTACCCCCTAGAGCGACTCAGGCTCCCTTCGGGGTGGGTACGATGGCTGAGGCGTTAAAAGTATCTACGGAGAACTCTTCGGAGTTTCCAGAACTAAGATCAGGAAATGAAAGAGGCTTTGATGAAGGTTCTGAGGCTGGAGATTTAGCTAAGAAAACAAAACCGGGCACACCGTCACCCATTAAGAATAAAGTAGAGGAACAATTCAATAAGGTCATGCTAGCATTCAAAACACTAAGTAATCAGATTTCATGGTTAAACAGAGAAAGCAGGGAAACTAAAACTAAGCTTCAAGATTCTGCTAAAAAAGTTAAAAAACAAATAGAGGACCTTAAAGGCAATTTATTTCAAGTAATTGCTGAAATTCCAGAAACGATTAACGAGATTTAAGAATTAATTAATGAACAAAATACTAAAATCGAAGCTCAAGAAAAGAAATTAGAATCTCTTGGATCCACACAGGGTAGATCATATGCAGCAATAGCTGGAAGCACAATTAAAGTACAAGGAATCAAAAAACCCATGGCCCCCCTCCCCCGCCTAAAACGTTCAAAATTGCAATAACTTCGACTGAAGAAGGCGTTAAAGGAGTAGACACTAAAAAAGAATTCTACAAAGCATTAAACCTGCAGTTATTGGAACCTGCAGTTATTGGATTTAAACCTATCAAAATGTTCGCCCGTAAAGATGAAAAGGTGGTCATAGAGGCTGATAATGAAAGTTTACGTATATGGTTACTTATGGTTACTTGGTTACTTATGGTTATGGTTATATGGTTACTTATGGTTACTTAATAACCAAGATTTAACAGGGGGTTTAAAAGTTAAAGTCGAGAAATTAGGCAAATTCTTACCTCGCTTAATAGTATTTAATATTCCTGCTGATTTAGAGAAGGAATCGGGAAGAGACGAATTTTTAAAGCATAATTTTGATGTTACTTTGAACCCACCTAAGATAGAACCTATCTTCAAAGTAGGGCCTAGAGGAAAGACGTTTACTCACTGGGTCGTTGAGTACAGCCCAAAGGCAAGGAAGGTTCTCCTTAAGAAGGAAACTATGTATATAGGATGGAATTCGTGTAAAATAAATGAGCGAATTTCGATAACTAAGTGCTACAGTGTGCATGTGGTTTTTGTGCGAAAGAACATGACTCCCGATCATGCCCAAATAAAGAAGACACTGAAAAGCACAGGTGTATCCTAGGTTTAAATGCTAAGGAGGATACAAACCATAAGCCGAGAGATAACAAATGTAATTCATATAAACGCAAACTTGAAGCCTACATTGCCAATATAGACTTTGGAGATTGAGAGATCTAATACAGGAAACCTAAAGATCTGCCAACAAAATGTACATAACGACTTCGTAACAACTTTAGAGTGTATAAATAACTCTTTCAAGGATGGAACGGATATTTTATTGTTATAAGAACCATAAACGTCTAATAGATTTAACAAATTCTTTGTTCCTGGTCTTGCTGGAGCTAGACTTGTTGCTGATCGGAACATCCAATTCAGATCTTGTATCATAATTTTTAATGCTTCTCCGAATATACTTCAAATTAATGGTTATACTGATAGGTATATGGCTACCGCCTCGGCGTCTGTGGGCGCCTTTTTTATTAATATCATATCAATTTATTGGCCTCCAAGAAATGAATTCAATGTCAATTATTACTTGGATAAGTTGAGAATCCTCATAAGAGATTCAGGAAAACCTGTGCTCTGTGGAGCTGATACGAATGACAAACATCCACAATGGTTCTCTAGTCAAACAGATCAAAGAGGCGAACAAGTATGTCATTTGTTTAATGAACTTGACCTGTTTACTTTAAATAAGCGTTCGGCTTTAACAACGTACTATTACTTACTTACTATCAGATGAATACCAAACTTGCTGCAACTTCAAAAGAAGAACTTGCCCTTAGATAGGAAATCTATACAAGTACTTACAGGCCTTGGACAATTTCAATCATATCTGCATAAGATAGGCAGAGCAGACACTTCCGATTGCCGCGACTGCTGCAGAGGGACGAATCTTTTCACAGGATCTATGACTGCATAACGTTCGTGCCAGAACGCTTGATGCTTCCGGACTCTTCCGGATGCTTCAGTCTCCTGAGGACCTGCTTGAAAAATTTATCGCTTCAAATAATCTTAACCTCCTGGATGATTTTATAACCTGAGGCTTCCACCATGAAGGTTAGAGTTAACTTTAAGTTTACAAATGCTGCGAAATAGTGTAAGCTCATAAATTTTGGATAAATTTAACTTTGTTTGTAAGACCTACCAATGGGACAACAGTATAAACAGGATGATCCATTTAAAATAACAAAGAAAAATTATATTATATTTTAGAAAGTTTTGCGTAGTTTTTTTTTGTAGTTTTTTTAGTATTTTGTACACCTTGTATGATTTAAGATTACCATATTTATAACAAAGTAAGTACAGACCATCTAAAGTAAACACTTAATATAGTTTTCATTTCAGGACAGTTCTTGTATTTTTAATATTTTTTTTAAAAAATGCATTTTTGAATTGAATTTTGAAAAAATGATTTTTTTTTAAAAATACATTTTTGAAAAAAATGTTTTATTTACTTATTAATATCTCTGAAATTGTCAAAACTTATTTTAAAATAATATGTAAAGTGATCAGAAAGGTAGCCAAAAATGTAATAATATAAAGGGTGTTCCATTTAAAAAAAATCATCCTGATCCACTACCACTTTTTTGAGTCACCCTGTAGAGGTTAATTTATTTTCCTGAAATACAGCCTAATACATACTTTAGGTTGGTACTTAAACAAAATTGCTGAGTTATTTTTTATTTTAGGAGCTACAGATGCTCGACGCACTATTGCCGGACCTTGTATAGAAATTTAAATAAAATCTCTTTTTGGGATTGATATGAAATTTTCACTATAGCTAATTTTTATCACGTGCTGTTTATACTATCTATTAGTTGAATCAGAAATTCTATGATTCTATGATATTTGAAATCTATTTTCTTCAAATAATTAAAATTTTAAATTCACTTAAAGCCAAAGCCTCAATTCTTTGGAGGGTATGGCGAAAAACCTAAGAAATACTTGCCTAGGTGGTATGGTCAAAGAGGACCAAATCTCAATATTATTTCAGAGGAAGGAGATATTGTAAGTATATAATGTTTATATTAGTTTGTTTTTCGTTTTAAGTCGCTTCTAACTGTATAATTGATTGTTTGAAATTATCTTTAAAGTAAAAATAGTAGTTAAGTATTGATTTAATTGCCCATGATATTAATACACTCAGATGCAAAAAAACGTAACGAAGAAATTTTTGTTCAAATTTGTGTGTTATATTTTTGTTATATTTTTGTTATTTTCAGCTCTATTCTCGCTATTTTTTTAGTAAGATGTGTATAATCATATCAACTTTAATTCATAAATTCAATTTTATACAAACTTTAGTATTTGGCATATTATACAGGGTTAATCGAGGTGTTGTTTTTTAACTTAACTTTAAAACACCCTGTGCCATAATTTCGTGTGTAAAATTTTCTAAAATATAATTTTGCGGTCAGGACCATGTCTCCTCAGCATCTTGTTTTTTGGATCATTTCAATACATGCCTTGGCTAATTTTTAAAAGCAAAATGAACTTGCCACCGACAGTTTGCAATTTTTTCCATTATCATTTCTTTTTGAAGTTATTTTTCAATATGACAAGGCGGCTTTGGTTATTATTGTGAACTATATACTACTATGAACTGCCCGTTTTGTTTGACGTTTGGGAAATGCTTGGCAGTAGGGTCAGAGATCGCGAAGCGGTACCAGTTTCATTAAATGAACTTCGTTTGATTCTTTTAAAAGAGTGGGAAACCACAACGCAATATGATATATGCAGCCTTATTGACAGTACGAATGGACTATACAGGCAGTTATAGCAGCCAAGGAAGGGTAATACGAAGTATTAGGGTATTTTTTTACAACTTTTTTTTCTGTTTGTATACTTGAGTATTACACCTGCAGTTTTTTTTAATATCGTTATTCGTTAGTTCTGTTATCGTTATTAATGTTTATTAAAACCAGGACTGTATCGTTAATCTTCAACGTTTTTTAGTTTAGTATAGAGTATCAAATGCAGCGTAATATGACGTTACGACAATAGCCACCAAAACCATCTCGTCATATTAAAAAATTACATCAAAAAGTAATGATAAGTGAAAAAATTGGAAATTGATCGTGATCAGTTCATTTCGCTCTTAAAAATTAACTAACGCTTGTATTGACATGAATCAAAAAACAAAATGCTTAAGAGTCATGGTTCTGACCGTAAAATTATATTTTAGGAAAATTTACACACGAAATTATTGCACAGGGTGTTTTAAATTTAGGATAAAAAAACAACCCACCCCGATTAACCCTGTATAATATGCCAAATACTAAAGTTTATAAAAAACTGAGTTTACGAATTAAAGTTGACATAATCATATACAGTTTGCTAAATTTGAACAAAAATTTCTCAGTTGCGTTTTTTTGCATCTGACTTTAGTTTAGGACATTTTTCGATTATGTATTATCTACAACAAAAAACGTACGTGTACAAAGAATTGTGTTTTGAGCAGTCTATACGACAGAACGATTAATTTGTGCTACTTCCGGAACCCCTTAAAAACAAAAAAAAGTAGTGGCTTTCGAGTAATATCTTTGTTCAGCGATGGTTCAAGATTACCGCATATTATATTGTCTAACTCTCTCTTTCAGTTGATAACCAGATGAGGGACATAGATGGCGTCATTACGGCATTTTGTAAATTACTGCACGTTGTTTCTGGCAAATGTCATTTGATTTGAGGTTATAATTTTATTGACTGATATCGATTAATATCATTTTCGACATTTCGTAAATGTCTCGTCCTAAACGCCCGGGAAAAAGAAACAATATACAGGGTGGTCCGAACTGTATTCCGGAAACTTCGGCAGCAAATTCTGCAGATAAAATTAAGTAAAAAACTTCGTATAAATGTATGTCCAAAAATGCTTAGTTTCGGAGACACAAGGTGCAGAAGTTTTATTTTTAATTCGATTTTTTCCAAATAATCTCTGAAGTAACGTCAATATTTGGATGAAAATTGGTGTCTGAGAGTTTTTGACTTGAGAAATTTGATTTTGATGTCAATATGATTCCTATTTGTAGGGGACGCCACCTGCTTGTCTTTTAACTGTTTTGAAGAGTAGGTAATAACTTTTCATCTGGACCTGTATAAAGCCACTGAGTGAAAGAATATACATTTCCGTGATTTTTGACTTAAAAAATGTCTGGTAAAAATCGCTATGGACAACCGTTCTCAAGATATTTAGAATGGAAATAGTCAATACATGTCATTATTGACAAAAAATAAACATATGTTGAGTAGATAGTTACTTGACTGAAATGATAAATTTGGGAAGTTTTTATTTTTTTAAATTAATCATAAATTTTTCTTCGAAAAAATGATGATAAAACAGTTTCTGTTGAGCTTTTAGAACAAAAACATTGCAAATTTATGATTTCAGTCTGATAACTACTTAGCCAACATGTATAATTTATGTCAAACATGACAGGTACTTATAATTTCGATTCTAAATATCTCGAAAACTATTACTCGTAGCGATTTTTACCAAGATAACTTTTTTTATGTAGAAGGCATCGTAAATGTATATTTTTTTACTCGGTAGTTTTATACAAGTACGAACAAGAAGTTATTACTCTTCAAACCAGTTAAAAATATGTAGATAGCGCCCTCTATATGTAGGGTGTATTCAGTTTCATCGCTAAAATTGGGGAAGTCATTTATGTAAATTAAGAAGAAAAGTATTGGCCCCAGGACAGAATCCTGAGGAACGCCCATTGTCACACACTTCCTTGCCGAGGACACACCCCCCACCCTGACAGTCTGTACCCTATTGATTAGGTAGGATTTAATGAGGTCAATGCTATTGATAATGAAATTATAGTAATGGAGCTTGCCAACGAGGAGGTCATGGTCAACACAATCGAACGCCTTGCTCAGGTCGCAGAAACGCAAGACACTGTACTTTCTCTCCTCAAAGGAACTCTGTATGCTACCAACCAGGTCCAAAAACCCAAAGTCGTATTTCTACCTTCTCGGAAGCCAAACTGGAAGCAGGAGAAGCAATCATTAGTCTCAAGGAAATTTATCAGTCTCTTAGCCATGCATTTTTCTATAATTTTAGATATTAAGGGTAATAAGCTGATAGGTTTATAGTTATTTAAAATATTTTTATCACCCTTGTTGAAAACTGGTATGACAATGCATCTTTGAGAATGTCGGGAAATATATTTTCCTTGAAACATTGATTGGTTAGTTTTGTAAGTGGAATTATAATTTGGTTCTTTACTGATTTTAGCAATTTTACATTTAAACCAAATTTGTCACGACTAGTTTTGTTTTTAAGCTATTTATTGTGTCTCTCATTTCAATGAAAGTTACCTCGTCAAAGAGGAAATAATCTTCGGGTTGTACAATCCCTTCAAGGATCTCTAGAGGATTCTGGTTGGTGATTGGTATTTCCTTAGTTAAGTGATAAGCAATATTAATAAAGAACTTATTAAATTCGTCAGGTGTTATGTATATGTGTATTGATGGTCGAGTCAGTTACGTCTGCCACCCCTCTCTGTCTGTTAATAATGTCCCACATTGCCCTTGGCGGATTAACCGCTGATTCAATGATGTTGTCGTTTGCATATCTTTTGGCTTTTTGTATGGCTTCGGAGTATATTTTTTTAAATGCCTTGTATGCATTCATAGCAGCAGGTTGACGATACTGCCTCCTGAGTTCACCCAAGAATCGCAGATGATCCCTCATCTCTTTAAGGTCCCGGGTAAACCAGGATGCAACACCCGGCTGATCGCAACGAGACCTCAAAACCCTTTCCGGTAAAGCCACCTTATATGCTTCTAGTAGGTTAAAAAATTTTGAGAATTTTTGTTCTGTTTAAAGCCCGATCATTGACAAAAACAAATGAATTACTTGCTACTATGTTATGAAAAAGAAGCAACTCATGCGGGGTTAAGGGTCTACTCACTCTGGTCTCCTGAACAAGACCCGCTGTCCGTCGGGTGCTGAATACTCAATAAGTTGTGATTTGTGATCAGAGAGATCCGTCTCGACCACACTTGTTACCAGATCTTCAACTGGAAAATTTAGAAATATATTATCCAAACAGAAACCCCCTTTGGTAGCCTCATTGATGGTCCTTGAGAAGCCCAGGCCAGCTAGTAGATCCGTGAGATAGGTACTCTCCCTTTCGTTTGTTCCGAAGTGCACGTTGAAATCCCTGGCCAATATCATATTTTTATTCCTCCCCAGTCTGTTATCAGGAGTTCCACCACAGACAAGAAGGTGCCAAAATTTCCACTAGGGGCCTGTAAATAGTTAATATGTAACAATTATATTAAAAAAAACACAACACAGTTCGATACATTTTTCTACATTAAAATTTAAGACTGAAGAAACTTGTTCTGCGCCAAGGCCTTTTTTTCTAAATACTGTAAAGAATAAATACTGCTGTGCCACCACCTATGTGGCCCTTCCTAGTAGAGTATCCTGCGCAGACATAGCCATCCAGGACTGTAGCTTGAAATTCTTCTTCTCTCAGCCAGTGCCCAGTAACACACAGTATGTGTGCATTTTTGTCAGTAACAAATCCTTGTAGCAGTGGTATTTTATTTCTGAGTGACCTCACATTGAGATGCATCACCCTTAGTTGTTCATTACACTTCCTGTTGCACAGAGTTGAGGGCTCTCGGCTCTTTCCCACTTCAGGGGTTATGGGCTTAGCTGGCTTTCTATTCTTTTGCGTAGTTCGGGTCTCAGGGAGCTCACCGACCTCTGGCGTTGTAAATTCACAAAATGATTCACCACTTTGGGCCATACCTCTGGGACTTGGGACTAGGTACTTCTCTATATCGTTATGCAGAACAGCATATTTTACTATCTAAATAGTTGACTATCCTGTCGCTGGTCATCTCTGAGTCCAGGCCAGAGACAAAGAGAAAATCCATTCTTGGGGCTGCTTTTAGTGCAATGGTGTCATTGTTGGAGCCTTTTAGGGGCTCTGGACGGCTATTTTTGAAAACTCATTTGCTATTTTTCTTGTAGTGTACTTCTTTCCACTCGTTTCGATTTGGAGTGTTTATCTTTTGCGTTGGGGACACAATACAGCAGCACAATTAGCTATGAGCCTATATCATGCCAAACTATGTCAAACGCCTTTCTAACATCCAGGAAGACAGCATCTAGCTTATGTTTCCTCCCGAGCGCCTGGTGAACGTGATTAGCCACTCTGGCAGCCTGGTTGGTTGAGGACAAACCCGTCCGAAATCCAAATTGAAAGTCGGGTATTATGTGTTTATCGTCCAGGCAGCGATTGGTAATGTCCAGAATTACCCTTTCAGCTATCTTCGACATCGTGCTGATCAGGCTGATGGGCCGAAAATCCCCTGGTGTAGCGATGTTCTGCGCTTGTTTCGATTTGGATTTCGGATTGGAATTGGTATCAGTATTATATGAGCGCTTTTCCATGCGCCCGGGAAGTGTTTTGAACGTAGAATGACATTGATAATGTTCGTTAGTTCTGCCAGTTGTTATGTAGGGATGTTTTTCAGCTGCGCTGGGGTGACCCCGTCAGGGCCTGGCCTTTTTTCTTTGCGATAGCCTGGATGGTGGCGCCAACGGTGGCAGGAGAGGCGAGGTTGTGGATGAGGAACACACATGGGGCGCCGAGGTCGAGAGCTTTAGCTTCCTTCGTCACCTTCTGGTCTTTGGCGAGGTATGCGTGTTACAGCCTAGGGGAGGTGATCTGAGCCGCGAGTGCCGTGGCTAGCGCTTCCGTCTTCTCCCTAGGCTCTGTGATGGGAGCGGGAGCGTTCGGGACTCTGATGGCCAGGGTGGGTGTTTTGTACCGACCGGTGAGGTTCCTTACCGTGAACTAGATTTTCTTCTGGGATCCATCCAGTTCTAGAAGGTGCTCGTTCCATCTTGCTTCCTTGAAGTCATTCAAAGCGTCAGATATTACTCTGCGCGCTGCGGTCGCTTCCGCTCTGTCTACCTGGAGACCGGAAGCCCGTGCCCGGCGGGTTAACCGATTTATTTATTAAATCTTTTATATTCCTCGGCAGGCCCCATGATGTTGCGCGGGGAGGAGATGCCGTGGAGGCATCCTGAGCTGCAGAGGTGATGCCCTCGGTTAGCTTTGTAACTGCTGCTTCTAAATCGTTCACCGTTCTAATGTGTGGGATAGGTTGAGTATTACCAAGCAGTCTTCTATACTCCGTCCAGTTGGTGATTCTTCTTGGGGTTGCACCTGGTGCCTGCATGGGGTTGAAGCCTCTCACATCGAGCACCACCGGGAGGTGGTCAGAAGTGAGCTCCTGGACGACCGAGATGTGCATCGCCCTAGTCACGTTTTTGGCAATAAACAAGTCCAATACAATTGGATTTTCATATACCCTGTGGTGATATGTTGGTTCATCGAGTGGAATCAGTGTGGCGCCGTGGTACTGAACCTTGTCGAAAAGGCCTACTGAACCCTGTCCTCTGGTGTCGCTGCGCGCGGCACCCCAGGTGATGTGATGCGCATTGAGTTGGCGTTCCAGGAGGCAATTTTTATTGCTGATGACCTAACCATTAATTGGCGGGATACATGCGGTGATGGCGGCCATCATCTCCTGGAAATGCGTCACTAACTGGGCAATCGTTTCGTTCATGACTGCCGTGATGTCCTTGAGTGGCGCCTGGCTTTTGTTTTGTGTGCCCCATACAAACGTGGGCGGGGGAATTGGTTTCTTTACCTGTGGTTGTGGTGCGGGAGTTTATTTAACTGGGCGCATGGGGTACCCTGAAAAACTGGCTGCATGTGGCCCTGAGCAGTTATAGTATTTCGCCGCAGCGGCAGGTTGGTTTCCGCAGGACCAGGAGCTTTGCGGCCCCGCGCATTTCACGCAGACAGGTGCTGCGCTACACTACTTGGCAGTGTGCCCGTACAACTGGCAATTGTAACACTGTGGGCCACCGTTCGCCTTCTTTGTAGATATGTTCACTCTTAGATTTAAGATGCCTCTTAAATTGTTAATGTGGCCCTCTTGCTTAGGTACAGCTACCTGCATCACGTCTTTTGGGACACCTTCCTTGGTCTTTCACCGCTGTACGTGCACCGGGTGGAAGCCTCGCGCCCGGTGTTCCTCCTCGAATTCTTCCGTGGAAATGTCGGGTACTACACACCTGAACAGTACACTCAAGTGACGTTCCTCCGGAGGGCAGAACGTGTGGTACGGAATATTATCTTTGTCCATAAATCTAGATATATTCCTCCGCGGAGTTCGGGTAAACTGTTAAATCCTCTTTCTTATCAGCATTTCATTATCGCGGGACTGCGACAATTCGTTACCTGAGCGGGAGTCCTCGTCTGATTGAACAACCATCTCGATCTGCCTTGACGCCGCCATAGCGACGTTACAGCGGGCCAACTCATTACTGCTTCTCTTGAGGGAGTCCTTGCGCACAACGCAACGCACTGACTAAACGGAACACACATAAACACAGACTGCACAGAGGGAGGGGGCGAGCGATGCTCTTGCTACCACTGGTCGGACTAAACTGGCCTCCGCTACATGATTTTCCGCTAGCCTCGTAGTTGTTTTGATTTCATCTGGAGCGGAATTTGGGGCGTTGCCCTCTGATTGGGACGTAGGTCGTGACTTGAAAGGAGGAGGCACGTCGTTCTAAGATTATCTAACCTTATTTTGGCTTTTCCTGTGATTTTCTTTGAGTTTTCTGTTTTCCTCTAAGAGTAGGCGGTTATTTTCTTTCAGCAGGGCGTTTTTGTCTTCTAGTATTAGTATGATCTTCTTGTATAGGTCCTTTTCGTGCTCCCAGAAGTTGTCAACCGCGTACACGGGAACGTGTCGACAGCTGGCTGTTTTCTGGGTAGCAGATTGGATTAAACATTCAGAATGGTAACTTTCCAGAGACTTTCCACACTCTATCCAGTTTTTTGTACTTTTACAATGTTTGCACTGTTCACTAGACTTTTTCTCGCGAAAATCAGCAGTTTCTTCAGGACGATCGTCAGGATCATCCTGACAAGCAGCCATCTTGAATCGCTGTTACTGAACCATCAGTATAAATTATGTTTTCCGGGTTATACTTGGAGAATATTTCACCAAATTTGATTCTCATAAATGAGCCAGAGGCAAATCATTTGTCATGTTCTAGCACGGATTTGCATACTGCCAGGAGAATAATCCAAAGTGGATTTAATAATCCACATTGGATTATTCTATTTTGGAAGAACAAATTGCGTAGATGTCAAGGTCCGAACAATTCTGAAACCTGATTCTTTATTCTTGTTGTTGTTGACAAATGTATTGCCGTTAGGGTGGTAAAAATGCTTATATACTGGAATGAAAGGACGAGATTAGATAAATAGTTGAAACTCCTAAATATATTGGGAACACCGTGTAGCATCTACAGTAGCAACTTTTATATTTCAAATATTTTTTTGTAAATCTCGAAATATATGAGATAATGGACTTTACAGTTGTTTCACACTGTACAGAATATCCCTAATTGGTTGATATTATTTAAGTTTATTTTTAAAGTAGGTACGATTTAGCTGTAAAGAATCGGTATATGTGCTTAAAATTATGAGTTGGAATACAGTAATTAAAATGAATAAAAGTCTAACATAACATACCTGCTATAAATTATTGATAAAAACGGGACTCGATCAATTAATAATTTCGGAACGAACTTAAAATTTTCTATGAATCTCTGATCGCTCCCCAGACACCCTAAAACGCATGTTTGATAAATGATGATGACGTAACTTTGAACGATCGCTGGACAGACTTCATCTATCATGTATGTATGCGCGTGGAAATTGTTATATTGGGGAAACGAGAATAAATAAAAAATGGAATTAAAGAACATTACAATAACACAATTAAATGAGAAACCTTAAAAAAATCCAGAAAAATACAATGCAAAATCTACAAATTTTGTAGCTGGTTATTTCTAGCTCTATTTATTTATAGTTATATAATAATATCGAAGTGTGATATAACTATGTTTAATGCTGTACCTATTTGTACAAAAATATAAATGATAAAATATTAATAATAATGTGTTCTTGCCTTTAGCTGTGTATTTTTTCTACTTTCGAAAAATCTAAAAAAGAAAAAGAGTAAAAAGTAAAAAGAAAATTATTTTCTTTGTCGCATAGGGGGAAGCCAAGCTCCACTCCCACAACCGGTTTCTGTGCCTACCCTTCATCAGGTCGGCTGTCCAGGGACTGGTTCTATATTCTATAATATACAGGGTGAGTCTTAAATAAGTGTAAATGTTTTCAGGGCTGGTAGATCCCGATAAAAGAAACATATTTTCTCTTTACCGTTATTCAAAAAATCAAAAATAACCGAGTTATTTTACTTTGAAAATTTCCACAAAAAATTGTTTTTTGCTAAAATTTTGAGAACCACTGAATCTTTTCTGGATTTTCTTTCTTGTAAATTTAATTTACTACCTATGTTGCCATATTATCAACAAATTATGTTTTTTTAACTAATAATTAAAAAAAAATTTTTTTTTTCAAAAAATTCCAAATTAAAAAAAAATTCGCGAGAAAAACCCTGATAATCGTGTTTCTGGGGTCGAAATCTACTACCCTTAAAAATATTTACACTTATTTAAGACTCGCCCTGAATAATAGCAAGAAAATATTATTTATTAATATACACTAAAGCTGTAAGAATGTTGTTCATTTCCAATAATAAAATATCTACATAACAGTTATCTTTCAAATGAAAAACTAACTACCACTTTAAATACCGTATTATACAGTTGCACAATTAATTTATCTATCCAAAGTTTGTTCAAACATACAATATATTTTAGCCACCATCACCTCCAGTATCAAGTCATGACACAACTTGTGGGCCATGCGACACTTCTGGTCTTGACGAGTATCTGTTGCTTGAGCAACAATTGGCACAGGAAGCAGCGAGCCATCAGGTATATTGTCTAGATATAAAAAAAAATAATAATAAGATTATAAAAAAATACAAATAAGAAAAATTAGCAACTTAGATATATTTTCTAAGGTACCTAATTATAATATGCATTCCAGAAATTATATTTGGTATTTTCATATCAAGATGATCTTGTCACTCGATATCGGTTGTTTTACCTTTTATCATCTCTTTTTTTTTCGATTTTCTTATGCGTTTTCACCTATTATTATTTCTAATTACCGATGTTTCTCTGTATTTAGATGAAACAAATATTTGTTATTTTGTTAAATCTCCCATTGTTCTCATAGAACTTATGCCAAATAGAGTGTTTTTGTAATTTAAATATCTACGCTAATATTTTCAAAACATACTTACGAAATTGATGGATGTTCTTATAACTAATGATGTAAATTAATTGTCTGTGCCCACGTCTTCCCGTTTCTAAATCTTGGTATCTGAAAAGTTCTACTTTTTCAGCAAAATGTGTTCACAGTAACATCAATAAGCAATCATAATTTACTATTTTTACAATAGTAAATTATATTAAGTTGATTGATTCTAATCTTTATTTCTAAAACTCGAATTTAGTGGAATAAGTGGAATAGATTAGTAATTTCAATTACACTTTATACTTTTAAGTTTACGATCATTCACAATGTCTAAAAAATACAACCAAAATTAATAGAATATCCTAGCAACAGCTTGCGGTGGTTTGTTGTATCCATAGAGAAAGCCTAAGCCCACATAAAGCGGTTTTTGTTTTTTTGCGTTTTTACGTGTGAAGCGCTTTTGCGACTTTACCGTTTGAAACTTTTATTTCGATTTGTGTCCAATAAAACACGCAAAAGAAGCGACAGGTCTCCAGTTTCTATCAAACTGTCGATTAGTAACATTTTTTCGTTTCCTATAGGGCTAGCGTTTACTATGTGATCATCCCAACGCATACAAAGAAGCGCTTGCAATGAACATTCTTGGTATGCTCTATTTGTAGTCATTTAGGAAAGAGTAGTCACTTAAGACACAGAAAATAGGACACTCAATTGTAACAGTACAAGTTCTATTTTCAAATAAAACACTGGATTTCCATCATAACTCCTTTATTACATTGTAGTACTCAGGATTACGACACAAACATGTCTATCGTCGACTGACCGCGGCGGGCGCCTCACTCACAATATCTTATCTCCCATAACATTCTATTGCCTCTGTCATAAAAACCATGCATTATGAATAATACAATCTGACATATACGTAAACCTTAATTTGTTAATAATAACAATACTCTATATAAACAAGGTACTCATAAAAATCATAACACAATATTACTTGTAACCACTACACTATCAAGTGTCCTATATAAAAACTATAAGAATTAAGATTTAAACAATTTAGATTTAAGGTCAAACAGGTAGAAATTTAGATATTAGGATTAAACAACATATAAAATATATTAATTATCCCCAGCAAAGTTCCGGTTTAGCAACCCATTGTATATTAAATAGTCACACAATTAATGAAAACTCAATTAAGTTATTAGATAGAGAAACAAAAGGCAGACGTTTAAATTACCTAGAACATTTAAAAATATTAAAATCAGCTAAAAACGACAATAATGTAAACGACCAACAAGGATTTCTAAACAATTTTTTATTACCCCTATTGTTTTACAATAGCCTATTGTAAATTCCTTAAACCCACCACCATAGCAAATATATCATACCGTGCTGGCAACTGTTACTTTTGGGTCGGTAGTTAAATGTGTGGAAGTAAATCGCATAGGGATCTTATTAAGCCGGAGTGAGAGAAATGCGACGGTGTGCTGTTGTAGCGTCTATCTATTATATCAAGTAAAGTAAAATCACGATCGCAAACCGCTTATTTTTAAACTTTTTTTCGAAAAGATAACTAGATAAAATCATTAGATATGTTTCTGAGCATCTAAAATAGAATTATAAGGATATCGTCAAGGTGTCCATTTTTTTATAAAGAGAGAATGTCAGTAATCGCGATAATTTAAAAACTTAACTTTTTAACACATAACACGTCATAACTTTACTAACTTTTTTTACTAACGAACCACTTTAGATATTGAAACTTTTTTTTTATTTTGAAGATCGGATCTTTTACAATAATTAAATAAGAAAAATTCGATAAGGTTGTTTTTTCCATTCAAAAATGTTAAACAACCCATCCATTTACTTTTAGTGCATAGCAATTTTCAGCAATCGTGTAACTTTTCTATTTATAAAGATTTTCACATATTGTCTGCGAAGAAAATATAGCAGAAATATTAAAAAAAAATTTTGAAAAAACTACAATCAATTTATTTCTAATAGATTTCGAGATATCGATATTTTTAAATTCAGAGTTCTAATAGCTCGACCACTGTCGAACACCAACTCAATTCCACTTATTATTACCAAAAATGCAAGTGTTTCTAACTTACTCTTAAAAATTTTCAAGATATAGAGAAAATTACAACGACTCGTTAATAAATAAACAATAAAATATCACGAGACGAGAAACAATAAAATATCACGTAAATCGTGAAGCTGAATGCATGATGTACACCTTTTCCTAGAACTTTAAGTACTGACAGAGGTACTGATTGGGTTGGCCGCTCAACTGCGACAAATCTGCTATATCCCCTTCCACGTCTCTTAGCACTATGTGCACAGTTTCTCGGTTTGGTTTGGTTTGGTTTGGTTCGGTTTTCATGCGTTTGGCAACGTGTTTACTTTTCTCTCTTTGTTCGGTACATTATAAAACGCATGGTAGGTACTCTTCTTACGTACGGAAATCTCGACCCAAGTCTAACCTTTGCCAGCCCTTAGTATATCCTTAAACTGCAGTCAGACGGCTAGTTTTTAAGAAACTCTTGAAAAATCCCTAACAAGCCGAAACGTATGTAGAGTTAAAGTTACTTTTATTTTTTATTAAAATACTAATATTTGAACGATGGTTCACAAGGAACCAACCACAAACTCAACACTATTTATTAAAAAACAGATTGACAAATCAATCATCTGGTATCTTAAAGCTGTGTTGCCGAACTGCCTTTCCAATATTAGCATATTATATGACGGTAAAAGTTACCTATTAGATTTATCTTTCAATTATGTTGCTTTTTTTTCGAATCTAGAATAAAAGTACCTCATTATTGATTTAAATGTATTAAACTTAACACCTATGCAGTTCCACCTGTCATAAAAATAATATTATGACATATTATAATAATATAATTTGCATTGGTTGCGTTAACCACTTAGTGAACGGAGTTGCAGGTTTCGAGTTCGTTTCCTATGTGATTAGGCAATCGGTTGCGCTAGCCCTATAGGAAACGGAAAAATGCTTCCCAGCCGTTTAACAATCAATCCTTTGTGGCGGTTAGCGTTGAAAATATGAACGATGTTGTTAGCGATGAAAGATATGCCCGGATCGATCGTTGAACGGGCTGGATATTCGACGACAAACGCAATCTACTGCTAGTGCCAGTAAAAATAATTATTATTATTTGCCATTTATTTTACGAATTTTAGTTTATTTGTGTATAGATTTTTTATGTTGTAGTTTTTCGGTTACTTGTGTATTCTAATTATAATATAATAAATAGTTATAGTTATTATACAATAATGGAGTACTAAATATTACTAATTGCTAACGCAATTTTAGGACATGATTTATCAAACCTTTTGAAGTGAAACTTCTTTACGCGCACTGGGAGTAAAAATTCAAGGTCATGTCATACGAGCTAGCGAGACGGCCCTGAAACACGAGCTAGTGTTAACAAAAAGTGGTAACGGCTTAGAAATACGTAGTGGCGCGACGTGTATTTGTGAGCGGTCCACGTGTTTATCAAAAATATTGATAAAAAATGTCTATACCTATGTGGCGGATTCATCTCTCCAAAAGAATCCTTTATGGGTATTTCGCCACTGCACTGCAAGAAAATCTACAAAATAAAATAGTTATTTTTTGCAAACACTTCTGCGGTAAACCTAAACAGACACTGCTTGTCAGAAGTTATGTTTACAGTTATACAAATTTGCCTAACAAAGAAAAAAATGCTTAACGTTTCGGAAAGTTTATCTCTTTCCGTCGTCGGAAGCAAAAAAAAAATACAAAGAAAGAAGAAAAAACTATTTAAATATTTAAATTCAACTATTCGAGGATACTTTACTTTTTTAAAACAGACACGTCTACAAGAAACAACAACAACGTCTACAGAACGTCAACAACCTAACCTAACCTAACCTAAGGTCAGCGGTTTCTTGTAGACGTATCTGTTTTAAAAAAGTAAAGTGTTCTCGAATAGTTGAATTTAAATATTTTAAATAGTTTTTTTCTTCTTTCTTTGTATTTTTTTTGCTTCCGACGACGGAAAGAGATAAACTTTCCAGAAGTGTCTAGCCCTAGCAGTCAACTATTAAGCTTGACCAATCAGGTTGGTTAGCGTGGTTATTTGAAGGGTGTTAATTCATTTGTGTTTGTCAAAAACTCTAACGTGATTGGTCGGGCTTAATAGTTGCCTGCTAGGGCTAGACACAAGTAACTTTCCGAAACGTTAAGAATTGTTTTCTTTGTTAGGCAAATTTGTATAACTGTAAACATAACTTCTGACAAGCAGTGTCCGTTTAGGTTTAACGCAGAAGTGTTTACAAAAAATAACTATTTTATTTTGTAAATTTTCTTGCAGTGCAGTGGCGAAATACCCATAAAGGATTTTTTTGGAGAAAAATATTGATATTTTAATGCAAACTTTGTAAAAGTGAATCTGATTATTACGTTTAAAAACCGTTTGTTACACTTCAATTTAATAGAATCTTTCCAAACAGTAGATGTTCTCTATAAAAATATTTTTAGAAATTTTCCTAAAATGAAAAAAAATGCATACCTACTATTTAATTTATTTTTATTGTTATATTAAATATTACGTCCTCCTATGATGGGGTCTCATCTTAGAAATCGCTAAAGACGCTACAGAAAACATACTGATTTGTTTTCATTTGCGTCTTTTGCGAGACACGCCGAACGCTACACGCTTTTGGTCGTATATATATATATATATATATATATATATATATATATATATATATATATATATATATATATATATATATATATATATATATATATATATATATATATATATATATATATATATATATATATATATATATATATATATATATATATATATATATATATATATAATCCTGTTATTTTGTTTTAGTCGCAAAAGACGCTTCACGCAAAAAACGCAAAAATCGCTTTCTGTGACCGTGGGCTAAATAATTAGCTTATAAAACAATATACTTTTCATTTCTAACTACAATTTCTTTTGGCGGATGAGAATCAAAATTCCAAAAAGACATTACTCGCAAATTTTGAATGATAATTATTGGCAAAAGATAAGCTTGTTAACTTTTTCTACTAATTGGAAATTACTACCACTAATTTTGACGTTTTCAGTGCTTACATTGAAAATAGAAGAACAAACTTCTACCGCTAATAATTGAAACCGATGGTAAATTGATAATTTCGAGGTTCTGAATGAAGTTTAATAGTTTTGTCATTATCTTTTGCACTAAAATGAAGTAGAGTAAACGCCACGAATGTTTGGGAGTGATTCATCCCTTGATGAAGTTAGAACGTTCAGAACCTTTAAAAACCTACGTCAGACGTAGGTTTTTAAAGGCGCGGTCTAATCATCTGCCTGCGCTCCTCCTACTTATTCTAAAATGTTAGCGTGATTGACAAAGACGATATCGCGTTTCTTTGATTGATTCGTTTTTGTGCGTCCATTGGTGTGCTTGCAGTGCGACGAATGGGGCATTCCATTTTATATTTATAACCAAATATATGTTTTGACAAGACTTTGACAGTTAAAAAAACAAATTACAACAGATTATATATTGATTATTATATGACTTGAAAGACCACGGCACTGGAATTAAGTTTTATGTGACCTTGAACAGATTAGTTCACATGGTAGCGACCGATGAATCACTCCCAAACATTCGTGGCGTTTACTATAGTTTATTTCCATAATATTCCAACAAATAAAGGCACAAATTAAGCTGTTTTAGATAATAGAACTCAGACACTTCGCAATAATAGGACCGTCATTTTCGATGACTGATTGATTTCATTTACAATCAACTTGAATTAGTATGACAGGCAACAGCAATTACGGTCATTCACTTTCTTTCGTTAAAGAAACTAGAAATATACCTTTCTTAGTAAAGTGCTGCTTTTAATTTTATAATAAATTTAAACCATAGAATTCGCTAGCATTCGATGAACGGAGAAGACAAGTGGCTATAACCGATATGGCTGAGCAAGCGGATAGACAATTGATTATGTCGCCGGAACAGAGGGAATTTGAAATGCTAGAAGAACAGATGTCTCAACAACGAAGACCCGGTAGAACTTCAGGTCGTCGAGAATTTGCTGATAGATCAAGACGAGCCATGATCGACGAAATGGCAGAAGAAGCAGAAAGGAACTGGATGGATAGAATGGTAGGTGTGATTAAGTAGTGAAAATAAAAAATACCTCGTACTTATACCTGGTCAGTGTAAATAAGTGCTGATATTTTTAGGGGTATACCGGGTGTCCCAGGCTCAGCGTGCATTAGAAGTTTCTAAAGAACTAAAATATCTAGACCAGAGATTTTTTGCACATCATTGATTTATAATGAGAAGTATCGATTAAAAATATTTTCAATATGGCGGCTCTTCCGGAAATACCGGAAGTTGATAGCAATTTTATTATTTTAAATGGGTGTCCCTGTTTTTATTATATACTTATTTTCTCAGTAAAAATGTATGAATATTGATGTTAAACACTCTTACCTAACATAAACCGTTTTTGAGACAAAAAAAAAATTTGGACGGAAAAAACTGTCTGCTTAAAAAATTGTTTAGCCTAAAGGTCAAATTTAGTGATTACCACAACCACTGTGATATAAAGACAAGACATGTAGCTATCTATTTCAAAAATTAAATTGTTCGAATGTCATATAATAATGGCGGTAGCTGTCATGGAATTGAGCGATTAAAAAATTAAGAGTTTAATAGGCGTCTTTATAAAAATATATCTCGTATTTTCGCTCTTTAGTTGTTATATCTAATAGTTCATATTATTGATATCTAATAAGCTGTATGATCGAAAAAGGTGCAAAGTTGGCTTGGAAATGATGATTAATGACATACTGCTTTTTGAACACAGTATCAGAGTATGATATGGTCAGATCTATTGTTTTACATCACTTGACGTTTAAAGTCATAGGCTACTGGTTAAATCAAGAAAAATATACGCTTTAAAACTAAATCTTAAATAACTTAAAAACGCTTTATTTTAGGTATATAGGAACATGTATAGACTAAAAGTAACGAATTGAAAAACATTTTCATCAGTGAAATAAAAGAAGTGGGTTTCCATTTGAAAAAAAAATATGATAATTGAAAATGAATCTTTTGGGATTTTTTTTCCGAAAATGGAATTTCAGTGTACAGTGTTTAGGCAGTGATTTCCCCCTCGCCTTAGACTGACGTGCGATGGCCAGGGAAGGGGGGGCAGCTGCCCCCTCGAATCTACCAATTTAAAATAAAATAGAGAAATCACACACCTAAAAGGAAGAAAACTAAAATGTGGAATATTTGGAAAACGCTTTTCTCGAAAAATGTGTGTTTTGCTGAACTTTATATGTATTATAATGTATGGTAGTATTTATAAATGGAACTCAATAAAGTTTGTCTTATGTCTCAAAAGAGTCAATGTCAAAAATTTTATTATAAATATCTACGGACCAAATATAGATAAATAATTTCAATTTCAGAGAGTACCTTCGCCACCACAATGGGCACCATCGTCACCTCAACGGGTACCATCGCCATGCCCAGTAGAAACGTTTGGTCCAGAACTTGGAAGTAGGCTTGATACTTCTGGTAAGTTATATGTAGTATAATATTAGCTCTATATGGAAATAGGTGACTATATATTTTAGAAATTTGTATGTATTTTTTTTGTATTGCATATCATATCATCATCATCATCATCATTCTCAGCTTATTCAAGCATTTCCAATTATGGTGTAGCCTCCCTCACATATTTAGATACAGTGGCGTAGCGTGTATTAATATAGACGTGTGCAAAGTCGCATCAGCGAGGCCTCTTTGCTTTCGTTCCTAAGAACTACGCAATAACGAATAAACCTATCTTACCAAACATGTTTAGACATACGTACTTATGAGAGTGAAAAAATATAAATGCGCGGTAGGAGAATATTGAAAAGCATATAGATTTGAAAAAAGATTTTATTATGTAACTTAAGTAATTTAATTTTTTACAAATGTAATATTCTTCTTCGGCTTTTTGCTTTACTGAAGTCTTCTAGTAAGGATTTGTAATTTATATTTGCAGCTAAATCTGAGGGTTTCGATAGAGCAGGGCCGTTCCTGGCGAGCGTGCAGTGCGTGCACGCACGTAGGCGCAACATTTTGGAGGCGCAAAATCGAAGGGTCAATCAGTACTTTGTAACAAAAAACCGATACGCTTTCTTGCAAATAAAGAAATACTTAAACATACATCATAGGATAAAGTTTGCTTCGCGTCTTTTCTGCAATCTTCGCGTCTTTTTTGCAAGTCTAGGGCAATCTGTCGGCAACACATTGATCTCATCTATTTATTTTTCATTTTATTAATTTTATGGAAAGCACTGTTCATTAAAATGTTGTATCCTATGTTATAGGACTTGTTTCTCTCTATAATTTCTTGTCTCACAATGTACCGTTTGTGTCCGGGCCGCGAAGGGTTCATCGTTGCATAGTTGTCGATTTTCGAAAGAAATCAGTACATAATGTATATTATTTCGTATATTTTTTATTTTATTGATTTTATGGAAAGCACTGTTCATTAAAATGTTGTATCTTATATTATAGGGCTTGTTTCTCTCTACAGTTTCCTGTCTTACAATGTACCGTTTGTGTCGGGGAAGGGTTCATAGTTTCATAGTTGTCTATTTTCGAAAGATATCAGTACATGTATATTATTTCGTATATTTTTCATTTTATTGATTTTATGGAAAGCACTGTTCATTAAAATGTTGTATCCTAGGTTATAGGGCCTATACAATACAAATCCTATGTTATAGGGCTTGTTTCTCTCTACAATTTCCTGTCTCACAATGTACCATTTGTGTCGGGGAAGGGATTATAGTTTTATAGTTGTCTGTTTTCGAAAGAAATCAGTACATGTATATTATTATTTCGTATATTTTTCAATTTATTGATTTTATGGAAAGCACTGTTTATTAAAATGTTGTATCCTATATTGCTTGTTGGGCTTGTTTCTCTCTACAATTTTCTGTCTCACAATGTATCGTTTGTGTCGGGGAAGGGATCATAGTTTCATAGTTGTCGATTTTCGAAAGAAATCAGTACATGTATATTATTTCGTATATTTTTCATTTTATTGATTTTATGGAAAGCACTGTTCATTAAAAAGTATCAGTATCAGCACTGTATCATATATTATATGGCTTGTTTCTGTCTACAATTTCCTGTCTCACAATCAGACGCGCAACTAGGGGCGGGGGGGCAGGGGGGGCTTAGCCCTCCCAGATAACCCGTGCGTGTCTTATAAAATTGGTCTTAACCTCACATCAATATTATCTTATAGTGACCTAAGCCCCCCCAAAAAAGTTAAGCCCCCCTAAAAGTATATGTCTAGTTGCGCCTCTGCTCACAATGTACCGTTTGTGTCGGGGAATGGATCATAGTTTTATAGTTGTCGATTTTCGAAAGAAATCAGTACATGTATATTATTTCCGATTTTTAGTTTATTGTTTTTATGTATTTCATATAAAATGGGTCAGTTTTTTCTTTACGGTACTATTTTTTTACTAAATATTTTTGTGGTTTTGTTTGTTTTATTTATTTAATAAATGTTTTATACTTTAATTAGAACAGTTTTTTTACATTTTCAATTACATATTGCTCGTTTGTCGCAGAATATAAATTCTTTAAATTTTTGAGATTAAGATTAAAATATATAATTGATTTAAATATAAAAAGGGCGCACCAAAGAATGCTGCACGTAGGCGCCAGATACCGCAGGAACGGGCCTGCCGATAGAGTATTGCTAAAGCAGACAGTCGGTTCCGCTTCATACTGTTTCTTAAGTAGTTTTTTAACTTAGAAAAGTTTGTTCCTGCGGAAGTTGTACTTACAAGCATAGTCAACATTATTCTAGTAGCAAGATAAACATTGGGCATCTATCCCAATCTTCCAAATCATTTCTAATTATGCATTGAATCATCTGATTGGCATCTCTAATGGAGTTTGGTAGATTAGGCACTAAAAGTTGTATTTCTTCGTAAAGTTCATAAGATTCTATATCTTTGCTTCCCCCCAATCTTAAAGTACTATACTTAAATCATTACAGTGCTTCATAAGCTCGTTATTTGGCAAAGATTTTAAATATTTATGTCGTACAAGAATCAAAAATTGTTGTTATTTTCAGGGGATGCAATAAATCTAATGTTAATGTCTTGTATCATGGGTCAACCCTTATTTTTAAAAAGCAATTCTGAATCTACTTTCAGCCGAAGCAATAGGATCATCTACATATACATAATTACACATTTAATTTTTCTTGCGAACCCATTTCTTTTTAAAAGTCGTTGTAATCAAACAACTGCTCTCTCTTTTCTATGAATTCGTAGTTATTAAAACGTTTTTTTCATTAGCGTTTTTATAAAACATTACTACTGCGAACGGCAGCTTTTCATCGGAGAGCAGTCGTGGATAAGGTATTTCACAAGAGAGAAAACTAATCAATAACAGTAAACAAAAAAATATAGATATTGGGCGCCAGGCATGTACAGAGAAAGAAAACACAGTTGTATATTACTTAAAACTAATGACTATATTTATTCATGATGTTCTTTGCTGGTACATGACATTGTAGAGTTCAAGTAAATATATAGTGATTACAGTTGAGGGTTGGAACCTTTGGTGTTACACAGCAAAATAAAAACACTAAATCACCACAATACACCAAAACACTTTTACTTTTATACTGGACGCGCGTTTCGCTAACCATGTTAGCATCATCAGCAGATGATTATAAACTCAAATTCATTAGTTTATAATCATCTGCTGATGATGCTAACATGATTAGCGAAACGCGCGTCCAGTGTAAAAGTAAAAGTGTTTTGGTGTATTGTGGTGATTTAGTGATTTTATTTTGCAAATATATAGTGGTTATATGTCAAAGAAAGTGGTGTTAAGAGTTGTACTAAATATCTATGAAAACAACTATGATAAAATACAAGACATGTAAAGTTTAAGAGAATATATGAAATGTAGCATTACTTTAATTAATTTGATATATTTTATATGATATTAAATCGAAGATGTTGTAACCCGTAGATTCTAGAATCTATGTTTGGTTATTCATCTGTTAAAATAGTGCAATAATAAGATCTATGAAAGTAATACCAACAAGACGTAATGTAATGAAACCTAAGATCTAAATCATATTTTAAATATTAAATCGACATGAATTAACAATTAACGACTTAACAATCTAACCACTAAACATAGTCTGTACGATATAACTTAAGATGTACGATTGTTTAAGACTGAAAATGTTTTAGATGTTAAATGTAAAACTAGAACTTAAATCTACACTTAGCTGTTCTTTATGTAATCTTGCTTCAAACACTAACAGCGTGAGGTGGGCTCGCATCTCTGTATTCGGCCATCCAATACAACAAAAGGGGCCAGAATGAGGACACCATGAATTGATACAGCCGTAACTACTAACTAGCTTATAGATGGGAACGAAGCAGCATGGGGCTCAAGCTACATCCACGCTGGGGCACTTTATATGTAAGAAAAATCATTCCTACTGGGGACACTTGTCCACAGGACATCCGTACATAGGATAATGGTACAAGGGAACACTACCCGTACCTTGGACCATAACCTAGGACCCTAAAAATACGAAACTCTTGTTTAAAATCAAACAAGGTCTAATAAACAAAATAAACCTACCTCGAATTACTTCCGAGGGCTCACTAAATAATAAAGAACTTGTCCTTTCTTCCATGTGATATTCTAGAGGGCAAAAGAGAAGGAACGCCAACGTGCCAGCAAAATACAAATACAAGTTAGGTTGGGGCATCCGTAACTCTACCCTAAAAATACGCAGTAATAATAACGAATCAAAAAAGATAATATCTCATTTTTACCTGTAGCTTCGAAATAGCAGCTGATTCAAATTATACAGCAAGATTTTTATAATTGCAGTTTCTCGAAGCAAGGATTTTTTGATGGTGACAATAGAACGGTCAAAGCCAAAGTGAAGTTAAGCACGGAGAGGCGCCTTGAAGCGATGTTGACAGCGCTCCACAGAACAGTGAAACGATAGCAGGGTTGCTGACTAGAGAACGTAACAATTACGCCAAGCGCGTCAAATAAACTATCCGGCCTGAACGAGAGGGAATCCGGTGATGATAGGCCAGACATCATATATTACATATAAAAAAGACATGTAACGAACTAAAAACGTTACAACTTGTTTCACGAAATTTGTGGATCCAATCACCAAAATTGTGCAAATTATCAATAACGTGTAATTTAATATCGACTTTTTGCCAGATCTTACTTATGTTGTTGACGCCGTTTAATATTTTGTAATACACGTGTTCGAGATAATAAATTTCAGAGTTAGCATTTCAGTTAGGTTAGGCAATCGCAGACAGTGTTCTCCCGGGGCCCTTTTAGGTGCGAGGCCGTGGGAGAAGGCCCATTTTGCCCATGCCCAGCTGCGCCACTGTTTAGATACTCTCTTTTTAGTTGAGCCCATTGTAGTCTATTCTTAATATCATGGTCCCATCCCAGGTTTGGTCTTCTTCTAGGTCTCTTAATTCCTCGTAGGT